AGCGGAGGACAGAGCTGAGCCAAAGGCCCAGCACCCGCCCCGGACCCGCGGCGGCGCCCCCAGTCGAGAGGCAGCACCGCGGGGCCAACCTCCACAATAACAGGGGGGAGGGGAGGGGCTCGCGCTCCCGCCCTAGAGCCCGCCCCGGGGAGGGTGTGTGAGGAGGTGCGGGCGCGTGCACTCCGGCCCGAGCCCCGGAGAGCCCGCCCGGAGGTCGCGCGCGCCCGCCCGCACTCCGGGGGGTGGGGGAGGGGGGGACGCTCGAGCCAAGGAGGGCGTGCGGGCCGGAGCAGCAATTGCCTCTCCCCCCGTTCCCTCCCACGTCCGGGGCGGCCGGCAGCGGGGTGGCCCGAGAGCCGGAGGCGGCCGGGAGAGAGTCTCACCTACACAGTGAATGAGCTTGTGGCGCCACGAGTCCAGTTCTTGCCGAAAGCCGCGTCTCTCAACGGAGCATTGCTGCCGCCTACACACCCTCGCCATCTTCTGCCGCCCGCCCGGCCCTGCCTCCACCGCGGCCCCGCGCACGCCCAGCCGCGTCGCCCGGGGCCGCGCACGCACCCGCGGCCTGGGCGTCGCGCCTCCCGCCGGGGGCGGCGCGGGGGCAGGGCCAGCCTCACCTCCTCTTGGCCCTGGCGGCGACCTGTGGGCGCACCTGCCGGGCACACTGCGTGGCGCGGCCGGCGGGGCTGCAGTCGCCGCGGTCTCTGGCGGCGGCTGCCGCCTCCTCTCGCCGCCCAGGAAGGCGCCTTCCCACGGCCGGAGCTCAGTCCCTGCGACCCTGTGCCGCCGCCACACTGTCCCCCAAACCACGGCTGCCCTTTCCTTTCCCTTCTCGGGGCTTTTTGTTTCTTAAACCAGCCCAATTTATTACTTCCAACCTGCCTATCGCCCGGCACCAACTGTTGCAAGTTCCGTGGTAACTGTTTTTCTGAACTTCTCGGTCGAAACTGCTCCTCCCGGGAACCTGTTTAAGAAGCAGAATTAAGAATAAATGCCCGGATGCCGGCGGAGGCACTAAGCCCTAAAGTTTTAAAAGGTAAAAGGGTACATTTTTAAAAAGTCATTAGAAGACTTAGACAACATTCGTAAACCCAGTAAAAACCGAAATCAAGCGTTTTAATTTAAATAAAAACTAGGAGGTTTCTACTAGCAAAACTGATCATAGGTGAAATTCTCGAGTTGGCGAATTGAGAACCGTTTCTGTGTGTGTGCTGTGGCGGAAGTCTTAATCTTTTGCTAAAATGAGAATGGCATTTCAAACGAAGGCTTAATAGCACTTAAAGCATAGTGTTGGAAATGTCTTTATTCCGTATTTCATGAAATATTTGCAAAGGAGTTTTCAGGTGAAACCTGGAATAATTAAATCACCCTGCGTAGGGCACTCCCTGTTTCATTTAAACATAATGCTGATTTTAATTACTTGACTGTTATTAGAAAAAGAAAAAAGAACGAAAGGGGAAAGGAGAAGGGGGGGGGTAACTGAATACAAAACCAAAAGAAAAAAAAGGAAAATAGACTTCCTCTTTACCAATAGGCCCAGTACCTAGGATTCTGGCTTCTTGCCCACCTTTGGGGTTTAAGATTAAGGACGGTGCATTCCTGCTTTTAGATATTTAAATTTAAATTTGAAGAGTTAATTTTAATTACTGTAGGTAAAACAAATTTGTTAAATACTTGGCATCAAGGATCCCACTGGTGTATTGATTTTCAAAGGTAGTGGTCTTTTGTTCTTTGAGCCACATACTTGTGGACTGGCGTGTCTATCCATAAGAAATGGACTGAATGGGCCTCTTCGTAGGAGTGGTTTGAGGTGTATGAATAGAAAGTCACCTTCTGCTCCCCAAATCTTAACCAATGATTTTAATACAATACTCCAAAGTCCACAGTATTTCATTGGTTTAAGAGTACTGTCAAATGACAAGCTATTAAGTCAGGAAGTATTGAATTTCTGTGTACATAAAACTATTCTGAATGGTGAGGGGAGAGGACAAATATGAGATAAAAAACTGCTGTGGATAGCCATCCTGCACGTACGACAGCCGAACATCTTGTTGTCAACCTGAAACTTCCTTTCTTCACCGCTAGGTGGTAGGTTTGAGTCTTTTGTAGCTTTTAACCAAGTTTCTATGATTTTTGGAGGAAGTACGTTTCGTCACGTTTCAAATAAATGAACACCATGTAACTCTGAAATGGGTTAATAATGAGTGTATTTTCCAATGCCCCTATATATTTTGTTTAAAGATAATCAAACCAAGGGTACTACTTCCTCAACATAATCTCTTAAAGAGTCAAATGAAGAGATTAAGAGGATCCTAGAGGCTTCAAAGATCAACTCTAATATGAGGTATGGATTCTCCTGAAGAATGGAAAGCCCAGACAAGTAAAATGACTTGACCACGGTTACATCGCTGCTAGTAGAGGCAGGGTAACAAAAGCCAGAAGACAGTTTTCCCAATTCCCAATTCAATGCCGTTTCCACTACTCCACTTTGAATTGCAATTATTGCTTCATTTATTTTAGTTGGGAACCAAAATAGTTGACCTCTTACACATGCCTGTTTGTAAGAAAGGATAGTTCTTTTGATTAGGCCTTCCTGAGCTCCCATCTGCTTGACCAGTCTGCAAGAAAACAAGATGCTTGTGTAGTTTGGAGTCAATCTGTGACAATATGAACGAATGACAGCAATGATTGTGGCCTGTGAAAATAGTATTCGGTAAGTCATGTGCTGTATCTCTCATAGTGGGCAGATGATAGAAATGGAGCAGAAAAAAGGTGAGCCATAGGACTGGTTGGTCAATATTACATCAACCTTGTGTCTGATTAGTTGGAAATGGCATGTAACAGGGAAATGACCACAGATAAATGGGAGGATGAAATGGATTGGGGCTTTCTAAGGAAGAAAAAGCATTCAACTAAACGACATTTTTTTTAAAAAAACACACATAATCCATAATCAACTTTTAATGAATTCCAATAAGTAACAGATACTTTTTAAAGCACTTTTCATGGATTATGTCATTTATTTATTTCTCATAGCAACCCAATCAAGTATCCCCATTCTATAACAGAGCACAGAGAGGTTAAGTAATTTGCCTAAGATCCCACAGGTTGTAGTAAATTTGGATTCGAACCCAGGCAATCCGGGGCAGAGCCAGTCTTTAACCTTCACACTATTTTGCCTGCTATACAATTAAGAGAAATGGGACCTTGAGTGAGAGACAGACCTGGACAGACAGAAGGGAAGCCCTGTCACTTGGAGCTACTCCTCTAGTGGCTCTTGCTCAGTAAGACTTTCAGAGTTCCTCTCTTCTCAATCTGTCTGCCTGTGTGCCACTGGCCTAGAAAACTTTATGGCTTTATGTTGTATGTGTGTTAAACTTATTTTTCTTTTAAAGTTTTATTGAGATATGTTTGACATACTATAAAATTCACCCATTAAAGTATACACTTCAGTGGTTTTCAGGATATTCACAAAGTTGTGCAACCATCACCACAATCACTTTTAGAACATTTTCATCAGCCAAAAAGAAACTCCATATCCATTAGCAGTCTCCTCCCTTCCCCCTATCTACTCAACCCCTGAAAACAATCTACTTTCTATCTCTGTGAATTTCCTTATTCTGGACATTTCATATAAGTGAAATCATGAAATTTGTGGTCTTTAATGACTGGTTACTTTCACTGAGCACAGTATTTTCAAGGTTCATCCATGTTGTAGCATGTGTCAATACTTACTTCCTTTTGCTTGCCAAATATTTCATCATATAGATATACAACATTTTCTTTATTCCGGTTGATAGATATTTTTACTATTTTCACTCTTTTACTATTATAAATAATGCTGCTATTAAAATTTGTATACAAGATTTTGTGTGAACATACATTTTCACGTTTCATATGAATACATATCTATTTTGAAATAATTTCAAATTACAGAAAAGTTACAAGGATGCCCATATACCCTTCACTTACATTCTCCAGTAGTTAGTATTTTACATTTGCTTTCACGCTATCCAGTTTTGTTCTTGCTGAGTCTTTTTATAAGCAATCTGATAGAAAGCTACAGACTCGATTCCCTATTACCCTTAAATATGCAGTGTGTATATCCACAAAACAAAGACATTCTCTGTCATAACCATGATATAGCCCTCCAAGTCAGGAAATCTACATTGATGATACACAGACTCCATTAAAATTTCACTCTCTGACCCAACAATGTCTCTTTTCCTTCTCTGGGCCAAAATCCTACCCAGGAACTTACAATGAATTTAATTGCCGTGTATCAGTCTCCTTGAATCTGGAACAATTCCTGTCTTTCCTTGTTGTGTTTTATGACCTTGACAGTTTCAAAATGAACAGGACTTTTATTTGTGGGATGATCCTCAGTTGGATCCATCCAGTGTCCCTCATGACTACAGTCAGGTCATACATTTTGACAGGAAAACCATAGAAATGAGGCTTGGCTTTTAGTGCATCTCATTGGGGGGCTCACGATGTCAACTCTTCACACTGTGATGCAAACTTGGCTCATCTAGTCAAGCGTTTTTTTCCACCATAAAATACCATTGTTTCCTTTGTACTTGAGAAATATTTTGTAGGGAGATATTCTGAGATCATACCAATAGCCTGTCCTTCACTTCACCTACCAACCAGCCTTAACATCATTAATAGTGCCTGCTTGAATCACTCATCACAAACAACATTGATGGTAAAATAGTGGTTTTTCTTATGACATCATTTCTTCTGTATTTACTAGTAGTTAACATTCTAATATAAGGAAGAGTTTTCCCTTCTCCCCTTGTGTTTATTTATTCACTTACGTCTCTCAATATGAACTCGTGGACTTCTACTTCATTCAATGGGTTGTAATGTGTTGCTGTGGTTATTTATTCTCAAATTGTCCTAGATTTGGCAAGCTAACTTCTTTGTCCTGTTGGCATGTCCCCATCATTCTGTAAGCATTTCCTTACTTTCTGGTACAACTAGACATTTGAGGCTCATTTTGTATTTTTAACAGATGCTTGACAGACTGGCAAAAGATATTTGCAACATCTAAAACCAACAAAAAATATCTAACCTATACAGGGAAATATTTCAAATCAAGAAAAATATCGGTAACCCAATAAAAAAAATGCAAAAAGAAACAATCAGGAAATTCAAAAGTGAGAAAACCATATGGCCCACAGGCATGTGAAGAAATGCTCAATTTCACTAGTAATCAGAGAAACACAAAATAAACCTGAGATGAACCCCCAAGTTGGCAAGGTTGTTAGAAGTAGGAACCCTACGTGAGAGTGTGGAAGAGCATAGCTACCCCTAAGTGCAAACTGGCCATATAGGCCTGCACACACCCCATGGTCCAGGGTCTTAGAATCTGAAACAAGGATATAAATTTGAGTAGTCCCTTAGCTCCGGAGATGATTCCAAGAAAGGTCAGCAGGGAGTAGGGAAGTGCAGAGCAGGCCCCAGGAGCCAGTGAAAGCCCTCAGGTACAGAGATTTAGGTGCTGGCAGATGGAAATCTTGGTCAGCTCTATACCAAAATGGTCAAGTCTGAGGTCATGTGAGTGAGGTAGTAAAACAGAATCTGCTGTAACTGGTAATCCTGCTGCATTCTGGCCATCAGAATGTGGGCATGAGCGACGTATGCCGCTGATGTTAAGTAGAATTTTAAGTTTATGAGATATTTTCCCAAATGACAATAGAATTAATTGACTAATTAAAATATTAGTAGTTTCAAGAGGATGTAGGGATAAAATTTAAAGATCTTTAACTTTATTTTTAAAAAGGACTGAATGAGCCTTTTTTCCATAAACCTGTGATACTATAGTCTATGCTGATCTATATTTACCTGAACACATGGTATTTTGTTCTGGTTTTCAGGAAAAAACAAACAAAACAATTCGCTATTGTCCTTGTTAGGTGACTGTAAGAAAAAGATTAAAAAAAAAGAATAATCAGAAAGGAGTTATTTATAACTAGGTAGAAAATGAAGGTTGTTTCCATGGAAAATGTGTTTCCATTTTGAAGCCCGAAAAGGTATAAAATGCATCTGAGTTAGGCAAAATGAAAGTGTTTAAAACCAAAGGATGTCCTCAAGGAAAGTTTAGTTTACATAAGAAAAAAAGTTTGGTAAAATCAGAAACTATTCTTGCTGAACTTTAGCAAACTGTGCATTTTAAAGTTTATATCTGATAATTTTCCCATCTAACAAAAACAACTCCTCATTACTGAGCAACCAACCACTCTAACTTGTTTTCATTTAATCTTTTAAAAGATTGATTATTTAAAGCCTACTATGTGCCAGCTACCCAAACGAAAGGGTTACTTGTTCTGGTCAATGAACTAATTGTGAGCAGAAGGGATACATAAGATACCCAGGCCAGGTCATTGTTATGGGTCTGAAGATGCAGGTGCAGCGTTGTTAGAGATTTAGATCAACTTCAAGGATGGCAGCAGAACAGATAGAGCTGGGCATAGAATTCACATCTGCTTACTCTTCATACAATGGTCTTCCAACGCTGGCCTCTAGCAGTACTAGATACAACGTGATGTGATGTTAGGTTATCAGGAAGAGATGTTTCATCATTGTGGGTGAATCTTAATTATGTTCCTTACATATAATACAGTAATTATTACTGTAAAAAATAATACAGATACCTTAAGTACCTATCAGTTTCGGAAAAAAATCAGAGTAACATATGTACCTGTGGAATAGTGATATGAGCTACTGTTTACTGAGGGAGGACTCCAAGCTAAATCCTGAGCTAAGCACTTTACCATCTTTATTTTATTTAATACTTAAAATAATTCTACAAGATAGGTACTTTTTACTTTTTATCTCATTTTAGAGATCAGGAAAATAAAGCACATCGAGTTTAAATACCTTACTCAAATTCACACAACATGTTATATACAAGAATTTGAACCCAAGAGATTCCAGTAATTTGGTTTTTCTCTTTTTTTCACTGTAGTGCCTCACAGATCAAGGTAAATATCTTTTCAAAAGTTCAAGCTCTATTATTTGTCACTAAAGTGGTGTTATGCTGAATGTCTTCAACAATTACATATGCTTATGACTCATTATTTTGCCAGCAGCACAGACCTATCATTTCTTCTCAAGCATTGTCATGTTGATCCAATAACAGTTCTTCCCAAATCAGTTGAAATGCAGAAATAACAAATTCCAAGGCACACATGGTGGAGGACTTGAAATACTATAGATACAGTACAACATAAAACAAAGAACAGTTCATCTATTCATGGAATGGGTGACATTTCATATTCAGAAAAGAAAGAATAAGTATACTAAAGTGATGAATGACATCTCAATCTTTTCCTCCCATTCACTTAAAAAAGAAGAAAACAATCTCCACAAGTTGCTTGCAGTTGATGTCACCTTAGCATAAAAAATCCCGCTTAGAACTCTTATTGAATATTGCTCTGTACATCTCTCTGAAAGCTTTTATTCTTCTGTCAGATTCTTCTTGACAGACACTCTTCTAGATGCTGTGTTAATGATGCCAATAAACTCTAGATGTTCCAAACAGATAATGATGCTGCTGCACAAATGCTCTTTCATATTGTCTGACACTATTAATTCTGGAAAACTCTATTGGTCAGTTCTTTGATCTATTACCCTTTCAGAAAGTTGAGGATCAGTCATCATTAAACCTTTGAAATCTATTGGACATTTTCTTTGGTAAGCAATTTGCTTTATGACCTTCAACAAATCACTCAATTCTCTAGCCCTCATTTTCTACTTCTATAAAAGGAGATGGTTGGATTAGGTATTCTGAAGTTACCTTAGAGTTTGTTGTCTAAGTTATTAGAATTCATCAATGTCAAATGCCTGAAAGTTTCAAACAAATAATTTCACATGATCTATCCTTCTATTTATTTAGGGCTTTAAAAATTGATCTCTTAATACTCTGTAGTTTTCAATGTAGAGTTTCACATATCTTTCATTATATGTATTCCTAAGTATTTGATTTTAGATGATAAATGAGATAGTTTAAATAATTTTATTGTGTATTTGTTTAATGCTGGTACATAAATATAATTTTTTAAAAATAAGCTTTTTGTTTTGGAGTAATTTTAGATTTACAGAAAAGTTGCAATGTTAATGTGACCATGGTACATTTGTCAAAACTAAGAAATTAACATTAAAACAATACTATTAACTAAACTACAGACTTCATTTTGATTTCAGCGAATTTTCTACTAATGCCCTTTTTCTGTTCCAGGGTCTAGTTAAGAATGCTACATTGGGGCTGGCCGAGTGGCTCATGTGTTGAGAGTTGGCTTGGGACACCAGCTCTGAGCAGCAGGGCCCTGGTTCAGATCCCACATGAGGGCCAGTGACACTGCCCTCTACAGCTAAGATGGTGAACAACAGCTCGACCTTGAGCTGGGCTGCCATGAGTCGCTGGGGAAGGCGTAGGCTGCAGCCCCTGCTGCAGTGAGTTGCCATGGGCTACTGTGAGTGGCCAGCAGCTGGCATGAGCGGCCAGCAGCTGGTGTGAGCTGCCAAGAGCCACTGTGAGCAGACGTCCAAAGGCTGGCAACCAATCTGCCTCACCCGGGAAGAGCACAAGGATCATACTAACATGGGCCAGTGAAGCGACGTCCTCCACAACTAGACTGAAGAACAAAAGGACAGCAACTTGTCTGTTCCCCTTCCCCGATTCCCCAATAAAATACCTTTAAAAAAAAAAAGAATGCTACATCACATTTAGTCATTGTCTCCTCTAGTCAGCGACAGACTTTCCTTGCTCTTTATGACCTTGAAATGTTTGAAGAGTGTTGGTCAGGTGTTTTTTAGAGTGTTCATCAGTTTAGGTTTGTCTGGTAAGTTTTCATGATTCGACTGCGGTTATGGGACTTGGGGAGGAAGACCACAGATGTGGTGCTTTTCTTACTGCATCATGCCGAGGAGTACGTGACGTCAATGTGACCTGTCATGAGGTAATGCAAACTTTGATCACTTCATTAAGATGACACCTGCCAGATTTGTTTATTCTTATCTGTTGATGACATTTAGGTTACTTTTTTTTTAGTGTAGGGATTGTATTAGTTTGTGAGGGCTGCCATAACAAATATCACAGACTGGGTGGCTTAAACCACAGAAATTTAGTTTCTCACAGCTCTTGAGGCTTCCCACAAATTTGGATATGTTGTGTTTTTAGTTTGATTAAGTTCAATGTGTTTTCTAATTTCTTTTATTGATTTCCAATTTTATTCCATAGTAGTCAGAGACATATGGTATGATTATAATTCTTTAAATGTATTGAGACTTGTTTTATGGCCCAGAATATGGTCAGTCTTGGTAAATGTTAAATGTGCTCCTGAGAAAAATGTATATTCTGCTATTGTTGGGCGGAGTCAAATAAGTTGATAGTGTTGCTTGAGTCTGCTATATTTTCGCTTATTTTCCCTGTATTTAATTATTGAATCTACTTAATTATTAAGAGCGAGGTACCCTAGAAGAGTATTGAAATCTCTGATCATAATTGTGGGTTTGTCCATTTGTCTTATGGTCTTGGTCTTCACATGTCCAAAATTGTTGCCAAATATTGTTTATAAAGGACCATATATACTGCAGGTAATGTTATCTTACATCTTTGAAAATTCTCCCTTTTATTTTTCGGCTGATAGAGGAAGCTGATCATATCATTTCAATATGGGCCTGAGTGTTGAGGGTAGAGTGGATATAGTGAAAGTGGGTTACAGTTTTGTTTAGATTTAGCCTATCTCTGATTTGTTCTCTTTCCTAGGGAAAGATCTTCCAGGGCTTTAATTGAGAAACAGGAGTTGATTTGTTTTCTGGAGATTAAGTTCTGCCCTTAAGAGGTCTTCAGTTGAGTTCTCAGTTTCTCGCACCAAGCAGCTTCAAAATTTGTCACACATCTTAAGGGGATATGGAGAGTAGATGTCTCAATTTGAACCCTGAAATATCCAATTTACCTCCCTACAGACCAACTTACATACCAAAATCTCTGCTGATTTCCTGTTTTTTGCCCTGGGACCTTCTACCCCAGGGCCAACCCTGGATTCTCAGACTCCAGGGCAAAAATACCTATAGATCCTCAGTGTCATTCCCTCTAAGACCTGTCAGCTCTTATTTATTTTAGTTTCAGTCCCCTGCTATTGGTAGATACTGTGTTATGCCTTTCTTTCAAATTTATATCGGAATCTTTACTGAGATGTATTCTTTACCTTGTTTACTGTGGTTTCATTATTTTTAGAATATATATCTGAATCAGTTTTCAAATGCATATTTTACCTTGTTTACTGTTACTATCCTGAACACATGAATCAATTTTCAAAGAAAAGAAAAAACATTTTTCAGGCCTTTGACTTCTGTCACTAAAGGAGGCTAGATACTATAAAGCACGCCTTACTCCGAAACAAAAATATTCCGGAAGAGGTTAACTTTTTAATATATCACAGGACTTGCAATAAATAAAGAAAAATCTTCAAGAGTTCCTAGTAAAAAGTACTGAAACCAGTACTGATGGGAGCCTGAGTAGCAAGAAGCTTGGAGGTTGGTATTGCCCTAAGGCTAAGTGTAGATATATCAGTGTGTCAATTGATCAAAGTTCTAAATAGGCTTTTTGAACCTGTGATTCCTAAGTAAGGAAGGATGTTTGAAAAAAGCTGAAGTAGTCCCAGGATGGTAGTTCCTCTAAGCTCCTAGTAGAAGAATAAAAAAAATCCCCAATTTAGGCCTGTGGGATCCCCAAAGATAAATATGTATGATCTTATAATCAGAGATCAGCAAACAGAAAATAAGCCATAATGACTACGAGTTAGAACAACAAACAACAGAATTATAAAATCAAAATGTAAAATAAGTTTGTATGAAATACTGGAAAAAATTTTAAATGGAATTACAAAACTGATGAAGCAACTATCACAAGTGACTGGGAATTTTTGAAATAAAAATAAATAGGGTACTTTAAAAAATAAAAATATAATTGTTGACATTTTAAAACTTCATAAAGCCATGAATCAAACAGCAGATCAGACATGGATGTTAAGAATGTAATAGACGTTGGATCTAAATAAGTTACCCAGAATATAATACAGGAAAACAAGGTGATAGAAATTATGAAAGTGGGATTGAGAGACATGGAAAATAGAATAATAAATCTAATTGATGGATTTCTGGGGGACAAATTATGAGACTAAAGAAGAAGAAATATTTGAGTTAATGGATGATAATTTTTCAATTCTGATAAAGGATGTAAATCCATAAATACCTAAAACATGATTTATAGCAAACTTGATAAATAAAAAGAACTCTAGACCTGGATACTTTATAGTAAAACTCCAGAACACAAAGATAAAAATACTTTAAAAGCAACTTAAGAGAAAAACGTTATCTATAAATGAATGACAATATGACTAATTGCAGACTTCACAATTCAGGTTAAAAAATATATATTTATTGATAATATCTTCAAAGTGCTGAAAGAACATAACTGTCAACCTGAAATTAGAAAATAATTGTCCACCTCAAATTACGTACCGCCCATTGTCTTTCAAGAATGAGGGCAGAATAAAGCTACTTTGAGATCAGCATTTGATAGAACCTGCCACCAGATCTTCACTGAAAGAACCTCTACAAAATAACTTATTTTAGAAGAAAAATGATCTCAGAACAAAGACCTGAGATCCAACAAGTAATAATGAGCAAAGAAATTGGTAAACCTGTAGATAACATTAAATAAGCATTATTTATAGGAAGTAAAAATTGTTATAATGTCCAATTTGTGTGTTTTTTAAAGGACTGAATGAAAATACTGGATAATAATTTATGAGTTAGTGAATTATTTAGAGGTATTCTAAAGACTTTATTATTTGGCAGAGGAGCAGATATGAACTATAGAATTGTTGCTATAAGTAGGCATGTTAAACTTTTCAAGACTAACTCGTAAAAGAATGGAAATAGAGTGTAGACCTTAAAAATTTGTAGAGAAGTAAGATGAAATAAAACAAAAAAGCATATGAAAACAACTTTAATGCTTTTAAAGGAAAAATAAGAAAATTATGTAAAAGCAAAACATACAGTGAAATATTAGACAATAGAAACAAATTCAGATATACCAACATCATAATAAATGTAATTAGACTAAAATATCAGTTAAATTCAGAGATTGTCAGATTATTATTTTTTAAAAAAAGAATGTCCAGGCTTTCCAGTTCTGTCCGTAATGGAGTAATTTGTATTAGACTTACTCTCCCACCACATACAGCTATAAAATTGGCAAAATATATGAAGCAACTGTTTTTAGGCATTGAACAACAGACAGTGCTTATCTGTGATGTTTGACAAAATAAAAATACATGAGGTGAGCTCCACATTCAACACAACTTTCTGCCTGGGCACCGTTTCCAAATCACAGTGCAGGGAGGTGGAACCTAAGCAGAGCATATGTTGCTGAGCTGAGGAGGCAGAGATCAGAGCTCCAGACTACTGAAGTGGCTGTGATTTGTGAGACAGGATAGAACAGAGGATAGATATGCCCAAAAAAGTAGCTCAGAAAATATACAAAAGGATTCCCTTAATGGAAATCGAACCTTTGGCTGAATGCTAACCTGCACGTGCACAGGGCCTTGGAGAAAACAGCTACTGATTGATGGATTGTAAGAACAGAGATCCCTGGAGTCACAAAGTACTGGGAGATATTAGAGTTCTGACCAGAAAAAGTTGAGAGACCTTGATGTTTCCTCTGAGGCTTGAGTTTGGATCCCAAAACTTGCATGCCTTAGGACCAGGGCTATTTTAGTTGTCGAAAAAGGGAACTCTAGACCAGCCCTGAAAAAATTTAAAAAACAAAGCTTTGACACAAGCAAGCTAATCCAAATTAAATTAATTGACTTCCAGGGAAAGAAAATAATAATTCTAGCATTTTTTAAAGGAAGATAACAAAATCCAGATGCTGTACAATGTAGTATCCACAATGTACAACATTCAATAAAAATTACCAGATGTGAGAAGGAGAATGTGATAAATCACTAGGAGGGAAAGACAAAAAAGAGAAACATATCCGGAGATGGCAGAGGTTTTTAAAGGACCTCCCAATAGGTTTATAAATATGTGAACTCCATGACAGTTAAAAGCCACGCCTTTTCCCAAGGAAGCAGTATGAGGTAATGGCGAGGAGTACAGGCTGTGGTGTTAAGTACATACCTGGGTTCAAATCTCAGACCTGACATTTGCTAATTGCATAAAATTTCGAAAGGTATTTAATTTGTTTGAGCCCTGTTTTACTTAACTTT